AAACAGCTCGTGTTGTTGGCTGAAGTGGCATCTATCTGCATGTAGATCCTGCTCCCTACGTCGTACTCCAGAGGGTATGAATTTGGATCAATCATGGTTTGGAATTGGTTATCAGGAAAGAACTCAAACTGGTAAGTGAAAGTACCAAAGCCTTTCTCCCACACTGTGATACTTTTCCTGTGTGCTGTGTAGCCAAGTGTCACGTTCCCCCGTTTGGGGTACTGGCAGTAGAACTGAACTTCCAGCAGGTGTTTCCTGGTGATCAGGTCTTCTGTGTTGTCGACCGCGGTGATTTCATTCTTAAAAATGAGGTTGTCATCATCTTCCTGTGGAGGAAAAGGTTATGGATTCAGTCCTCACACTGCTAATGAAAAGGAAAATCTACACCAGTAACTGAGAGAAGAGCACAGTGGGCAATAAAACTAATCACCCTGCCTCACCTCGATCTGAGTGCCGCAAGCATTGAGGGGGATGACAGCGATGATGTGAGTGCTGTTGGAGTGTGTGCGGAGGCTGCAGACGGTGTTGGTGGGGTCACTGAGCCGCAAATGATCCTCATTGAGTCCAGAGAATGAAGATTTCTCAACCTCTACTGTCATTGTGGACTGACTGCAGATCACATTGGCTACAACTAGAGCAAAACATATATTTAAATGATTTACTAAATACTTTGCTCAAAACTGTGTATTTCTTATAAAAACTATTGTGATAAAACCTGCATTAATATCAGCATTGTGTTTTTAAGTATTTCTGCCCTCTACTGGTCAAAAATTGCTAAATGCAGCTTTAAAGGTTCCCTGTAAAACCTCTAGTAGCGCTATAGAGTTCTTTCTGGGACGAGATGACTTGCACTGTACACATGCATTCACACGGGTGTGGTGATACTGTCATAATGCTGTTACACTATTGCACTGATCTACAAGCGGCAGTAATGGACCAAACATGCAGCAATGCGCCGACAAAGACAGAAAAAAGATTGCTAGCTAGTAAATATGGATGTAAAAAAAGATTTTAAATACTTTAAAAATGGGCTTTGCAAATGTTTTATGAGGAATGAAATGCACTAGCTTACATTATATTTGGTGAAAACACACACCATCACATTCTGCGCTACAAAAAGTTTCCCCATGTATCATCAGCTTCAGACTCACCTTGCGTCGCCACAATGTCCACCAGAACACACCTCATCTCAGACTGATAGATGTCAGCCCTGAAAGGCATCAGTGAACACGGACTTAACACTTTTAACTCATTCAATTAAGCTGATATGTCATTGTGAAAATCAAAATTGTTTTGAATCCAAATTACAGTCAAAAACGAAGTCTATTTTCCTAGCCCTCCCAGCAGTCTCGAAAAAAAGACTGAAAAGTGTGTAGAAAGATAAATTAAGGTATCCACACACATACTAATTCTGTCATAAAGGAAATGAACCCAAGGCTCACCCTGTCACTGACTCAACAGCAAAGCAGATGGGGTAATGAGCTCCCAGGTCATCTGGAGTTGGCGTCCACCTAATGACAAACTCATCATGTGTGGTCCTGTGCTTTTGGATATTCAGTGGCCCACTGATGATGATATCACGTATTCTGTATGAAAACAAAACAGAAACCAGAGATTTCCTCGTTACTGCTGGGTTTATCTACCTTGTTGAAATCATGAGAATGTTATCCTGCCACACTGATCACGCTGGTTCTCACTTACGTTGCATATGCAGCTTGTGCTTTGACTCTGATCTCCACCTCTTTGTTGACCTCTGCTTGGATGTGTGCTCCATTTTCAGGTGTTGGGTTCACAAACTTTGGCAAGAAGAGTCCCTCCTGACATGAAGGAGCAGGTGGGTCCACTGGAGTATAAAAAAGATAAATAAACTATCAATACCTGCCACTGGATCAGAACTTTTAACCTTTTGCACTCTGGCCACACCTATGCATCCAGAGATGTCACACCAAGTGTTGACTAAACTGACGCCACTAAACAAGTATGTTCATTCCTAACCTCAGTTTATTTGTGGCAGTGTGTGGTGAAATAGAAGGAAACCACATGTAATGATCAAAACATTGTCAGAAGTTGATGAATTGTTTACAGGCTAAATAAAGCTTTTGAAACCCCATTGGATCAAATGTGGGAAAAAACAGGACAGTTTTTATTCATTCATGAAGAGCTGATTTTTTGGAAAAACTTTCATTTTCACATTTTCACAGGACAGATCTTCATGGTGGGTTTCTGGTCAAACTTTTTGGGGGTGCCTGGATGCCTGTATTTCAATCCATGTGTAATGTCACAAATGAAGGTGTGGCTAGAGGTCCTGCATGAAGGTTTCAACCCAGTGAGGACTGTGAAGCTGCACGTTCTTGCTCAATGTGATTGAGGCTCACTAAAATGTATAGAAAAACCCAACTTACCAAGTACAGAGAATTGCAATGGTAGTTTACTGAGAGGAGGAGTGGTGGAGTGCAGGTGTGTCCTGCTGCTAGTGTATCGCAGAGTGGTAGTTGCTTCAGTGGTTGGGGTTGTTGTGGAAAAAAACCACTCCCATGGGTCATATGTCGGTTCTGCTGTTGTAATTTGTCCTGTGGTTGCAGTGGTTGGGGTTGTTGTTGAACCAAACCACCACCATGGGTCATATGTCGGTTCTGCGATTGTAGTTGTTACTGGGGTTGTTGTGGGAAAAAACCACCACCATGGGTAATCGGTCGGTTCTGCTGTTGTAATTTGTCCTGTGGTTACTTCAGTGGTTGGGGTTGGGGTTGTTGTGGGAAAAAACCACCACCATGGGTAATCGGTCGGTTCTGCTGTTGTAATTTGTCCTGTGGTTACTTCAGTGGTTGGGGTTGGGGTTGTTGTGGGAAAAAACCACCACCATGGGTAATCGGTCGGTTCTGCTGTTGTAATTTGTCCTGTGGTTACTTCAGTGGTTGGGGTTGGGGTTGTTGTGGAAAAAAACCACCACCATGGGTCATAGGTCGGTTCTGTTGTTGTAATTTGTCCTGTGGTTGCTTCAGTGGTTGGGGTTGGGGTTGTTGTGGAAAAAAACCACCACCATGGGTCATAGGTCGGTTCTGTTGTTGTAATTTGTCCTGTGGTTGCTTCAGTGGTTGTGGTTGGGGTTGTTGTGGAAAAAAACCACCACCATGGGTCATAGGTCGGTTCTGTTGTTGTAATTTGTCCTGTGGTTACTTCAGTGGTTGTGGTTGGGGTTGTTGTGGAAAAAAACCACCACCATGGGTCATAGGTCAGTTCTGCTGTTGTAGGGATTGTGGTTGGTGCTGCGGTTGTAGCTTGTCTCTTTCTCAGTGGATCCCTGGAGGATCTGGATCCATCAGTGTAGGCCAGAGAGATGCGCCCTTGTGGGAAGTCCTCCACCACCAACTCAAATCCATACGCTCTGGCGTCGGCATAAGAGTATCGGTAGTGTAATGTGCAAGAGCCCTGACAATGTGAACATTTAGTAGTTAAGGGAGGCAAAGCATCAATCCAGTGTTGTACAATGTATTGGGAAATTGATTTTTCAACAAACCTGATCCAAGTCGAAGCCTGAAGGTTGGTTGCACGAGCTGCACTCAGTACCTATGATATTTCCATATCTGCATCGAACTTTGTCACCATCAGGATCAAAGGACATCAGCTTGTATGTCCGTGGGCAGTTCTGAGGAACTCTTGAACAGACACATTAACACAAGTTAGTAAGAGTCTACAGCAGTCCTGAGTGCTGTTGTGAAACAATCACACATATGAACCAGCCTCGGTTCTTCCCTTCCACAGTTTTAAAAATCCAGTGTAACCAACCTGCAAATGTGAAAACTGTTTAAATAATTGTGTACAGAATATACTGTTACTTTTAATCCAAATTTCAGATATGTGAATAACTATTTATTGAAATGTGTAAAAAAAAAAATAGTGGGTTCAGTCTCAAATTGTCTTCATGGAGTCACAGTGCCCTATTCATGACAAAAAAGTGTGACCTCTACAGCATTAACTGATAGAAAAGTAGTTAGTTACATCTTTAAATTATTTGCTTAACTTGTTCAGTTAATCCTTTGAAGTAGTTGTTCCCTCTTTGAGTTTTAAAATGAGTACAAGTTATTTGTAATTGCAATTGTGAGTAGTCAAAACATTCTAGTTAAGTAATACCATAATTGTCTAGATATACCACAGTCACTCAGTAATTTGTGATTGTCCTGTTTTCTGTTAGCCTTCATATTATCTGGTTTATCAGTAGAAAGTATGTTTGAGAACAACAATTTTAATTGTTAAAGTTTAATTAGGAATTGTTCCCAACTTCTCATCTTGTGTCACGTTTTATCTCTTCTTTTTTTTTTTTACTGCTGGCTGTTGATGACCTGATTTCTTTTTTCAAGGGTTTTGTTCTATGTCTCCTTTATTCAGCCTTGTTTATTTACATGATCAGCTTAATTCAGTTATTACTGGTTTGGACTCATTCTTGTTTTCTTGTCTTAGCACAAATTTAATCCATGCAACGCTCTCTTAGGACAGCTACGGTGGCTGTAACAGCACAAAAGGTGTCTCTCTGAAACAGCAGAGAGTGGCCAGTCAAGAATGAGGTTTCTTTAGGTAGATGTAGAAATTATATTTAAAAAATAGGTGATTAGGTTATATATGATGAATTTGGGATAATGTATCCTCGCCAAAACTGCCCGCCAGCAATAATATCTGGCTATCACGGCATGATAATAGGAACAGTGTTGAACTCATGAGTATTTCCTCGCTGCTAAATCTGATTGTGAAGTCTAAAATAACTTTCCACTGCATGCATAATACACGGCAGATGTGTGTGTGATGTTGCAGCCTTGCAAAGTGTAAAAAAAAAACCCCATCATTTTCAGAGAGTTTCTCTCATAGAAGTAAGAATAAATTTCAGGAAATATTCAAGTTTTTAACTTTGATTTGTGATTTAGTTTCTTATAAATCTACCACTTAAATCTTTAATCCCTCTCCCCTGGCTCCAATTCTTTTATTACAATGAGCATAATGTGCAGTTGTACGTTTACATCTTCATGATATTACGATATAATGATATAAAAGAAGAGTCCATAAAATACATGGGCCTATTAGAGAATTAGCCTACAATAAGAACACTGTGAAGATAAAATTTACTCCATGTGATGCCAACAAGCCTTCTTGGCTTTGTCGGCCACCACAATGTTAGATTTAGCCGTTAACGTGTCTTTAAACTCCTCAAATCCTGGCACAATCAACCTGCATTCTTCTGGGGAAATACGGAGCATGCGCCGTGGCGAAAAAAACTCTGTCTGCTTAAAAAATAAACTATCTGATTATTATATTTTTGCCTAATTACAATTTATTACAACAAGGATCTACAACCTGCGTCCATTCATTCCCTTATCATTTGAGAACCAAATTCTTTTCACAATATCGAAACGTGATTTTTAATTGAACCCGTTTTAATCCTGTTCAAATGTCGGTTTGTTGCATTTTGTTGTAGCCATATAATCGTTGTTCTTTTGTCTTATATATATCCTCATTTCTACCCAACAGAAAAATTGTGCAAATGAATTTACTTTTCGGCTTTTTTAGATTGTCATGTTTTCCCCCAAACTAGGCAGGTAGTCAAATAAATTTAACAGCCTTAATTTTCAATGAAAATAATGAGTATAAATCCACTAATTTTTACATGATTATAGCATTTTCCAAATTATGGCTTGGTATGGATGACGGCATGTTTTTGTTTGTAAACATAGCGTGGAATACAATCCAAGTAAAAATGTGTATTTTCTTATTGTAAAATGAAAATAGAGCACTGTCTTATTTATAGTAAAATGATTTATTGTGTTGATAAAAAAGAATCTTTTTAAAAATGTTGCTTTCAGCCTAATTCCAGTATTTTTGGACAGGCACAGCTATCTGGCTGCCACTGTGGAGGTATTTCTCTACTGCTGATGGGCAAAGTAGGACATTTCCCACAGGTTCTTTAACAAAGTGATTAGAAGTTATCTTGTTTAATGATAATAGCAGGGGACTCACCGTAGAAAAGGGAGAATGGCAACTTCTGGTGATTGGTTTGGTTTTCCAGTGTCAGATCTTGTTCCCAAATCCACATAAGTCATAAGTCTCAAATTACGAACCCAGTTTTGCGTTGGGATCCAACAACAGCTTGCAGCGCTGGTGTGATGGAAACAACACTCTTGAAATACAATATCTAATAAGCAGAACCACAGCAAATACAACTGTGTGCAACTGAAGTTTTAGCAGGATAAATATTATATAAATATTACAGCAATATAGCAAAAATATTCACATCAGTCAAGTCCCCCCCCCCAAAAAAAAAATTTGTAATATCACAATAATACTTTACAAGCTGACAGTAAACATAAATTAAAGATTTTTTTAATTACAATTTTTAATGTATTCAATTGTTATATATGCACATTAAATATTTATATATGCAAATGTAAATACTTCAAATGAGGTACTCATTAAATATGCCCTGATTTACAAATCGCACAATTCCATATTCCAGCACATTGCTAAGACTCAGATTAAATTTTCTGGTTTTATTGTGATAATATACCAAAAGGCCAGACATTTACAGAACAGTTTATCAAAATATTGTTTTTTCATGGATTTAGGTGAAGGCAAACCACGTACCTGATAGGCCAGGGAAATAGTCTGAACAATCCAGTTGCTAATAGTATGTTTGGATGCAGGGAGCCCGGCCCTGGGGGACCCAAAACACACTAGCAGCTGGTCAGCCTTCCTCCAACGGGAAGACCTCAGAGTGTAAATACTCAGTGCTCTGACAGGGCAGAGCAGATGAAGTCTCCTGTCCTCCGCAGTCACATGAGGTGGAGGATGAAATGCCTGCAGCACTGTGGACCCTGCCGCACAAAAAGGCACTTTAGGGATGTATCCTGGACGAGGGTGCAGGATAGCCCTTATATTCCCCGGGGCAAACTCCAGGTTTGCGGGGAAACCGAAAGCGCTTGGAGATCCTCCACCCTCCTCAGAGAGGTGACAGCAAGGAGAAAGGCCATCTTGAGGGTAAAGTGCTTCGCCTCAGCTGACTCCAGGGGTTCGAAGGGGGCCTCAGCCAACGCCCCAAGAACCACCGCCAGATCCCAAGTGGGAACCTTGGACCGAGTCGCAGGTCTCATCCTCCGGGCACCATGGAGGAAACATACAACCAAGGGAAGTTTCCCCAAAGACCCCTCCCTCAGAGGGGTGTGGAAAGATGAAATAGCTGCCATGTACACCTTGAGGGTGGAAGGGGAAAGACCAGCAGAGAACCGGTCCTGGAGGAACTCAAGTACCTGAACCACCGGGCAGGTAACAGGGTCCACCGACAGCTCCCTACACCAAGTGGAGAAAACACTCCACTTCAGGGCACCACGGAGGATCCGTGTGGACAGGGCCCTGGAGCTGAGGAGGGTCTCCATTGCTCCGGCTGTTAGACCCTCCTCTAGGTACTGTGCCCCCTCAGGGGCCAGACCCACAGTCGCCATATGGCGGGGCAAGGGTGAAGAACCCGGCCCTGCGCCTGGGACAGCAGGTCTCTCCTTAGAGGGACCCGCCACGGCGGGCCGTCCAGGAGCGACATGATGTCTGAGAACCACACCCGGGTTGGCCAGAACGGGGCGACGGGCAGTAGGCCAACATTGTCCTGGTGGACCCGCTGTGCGACTGGGGGAAAAGCGTACAGACGTAGCCTCGACCACGAATGTACCACGGCGTCCAGACCCAACGGGGCTGGAGAAACGAGAGAAAACCATAGCGGGCAGTGCGTAGTCTCTTGAGACGCAAACAGATCCACGTCTATGGGGCCGAACTCTTCGCACAAGAGCTCCACCACTTCGAGGTGAAGTCTCCATTCCCCGGGCCTCAGCCCCTGCCTCGACAGCAGGTCTGCTCCCTGATTCTGCTTCCCCGGGAGATACATCGCCCTGAGCGATAGTAACCTCTGCTGGGACCACAGGAGGATCTGACGCGCCAGTCTGTCCAGAGGGCGCGAGCGCAGACCGCCCTGGTGTTTCAGATAGGCCACCACCGCTGTGTTGTCGGAACGAACCAGGACGTGGTGGCCTTGGAGATCGGGCAGGAAACTCCTTAGAGCCTGGAACACCGAGACAGTTGATATGCCACTCGGATTGATGCACCTGCCAGGATCCCCTTGCAAAGCGGCCGTCCATGACCGCGCCCCAGCCCATGAGGGAGGCGTCTGTCGAAATGACCAGCCGGCGACAAGACCCTCCCAGCACGGGCCCCTGGGACAGGAACCAAGTTTCCTTCCAAACTGATAGGGAACGAAGACACTTGCGCGTAACCCAAATCAGACGGAGAGGATTTCCCCTCGGGGAAAAACCCTTGGTCCTTAGCCACCACTGCAGGGGTCTCATGTGCAGCAGTCCAGATGGTATTACGCTGGACGCAGCCGCCAGGAGACCCAACACTCGTTGACAGTGTTTTATAGTGATGGCGTGGCCTAACTTCACCCCTTTCACGGCAGCCAATATGGTAACGCTCCGTGGTTCTGCGAAGCTCCGCCAGATCTTCCTCAGAGGGACCCCCCCTCTGAACCATCTCCTGTAGCAGGTCGGCTTGGTAGGCTTGAAGCACCGCCATGGTGTGCAAGCTCACACCTGCCTGGCCCACTGCCATGTACGCCTTCCCCACGAGCGTGGATGTGGTGCGACATGGCTTGGAGGGTAACGCCGGCTCCTCCAGGGAGGACGCAAGTCGAGAGGAGAGATAGCTCGCAAGCGCATCCTCCACCCGAGGCATCCTCCCATAACCACGGTCCCTAACCCCCATCACATTACTGTAGTTCAGTGATAGGGGTGTGGAAAGCCGTGTAGAGAAGGGTCTGCCCCATGATTACTCAGTTCATCATGTAAATCAGGAAAGAATGGCAGAGACCGGCGTGGAGGTGGTGCGTGGTGCTTAAGAAACCTTTCATCAAGCTTATCACTAGCCTGTGGTGTCTGCTCCTCCTGTGGCTAGTTGATGTTGAGCTTAGCCACAGCTCTAGTCACCACCTCCAGGAGCACGTCATAGTCGGGCACCGCCAGATGACGCCGCCCCGACACCAGGAAGTCATCGTCCACTACGCTGAGCACGTCTGCCTCCTCGGAGTCGGATTGCTGCAGCGTCTTCAGATCCAAACCGTGAGCGGGAGAAGCCGAGAACGGGCTCCCGAACGAGGAAAGGAAGCGTCGGAGCCAGCGGATAAAGGTCGGGAAAAAGCCTCAGCCGTCCCGAAATCCTCCGACATCGCTGTGAACCCCATGAGTGAAGCCGCCGGGCCGCCTCAGCGGCCGCAGGGCCCGCACCACAGGGAGAACACATCCGGCCATCCTCGGAAAAGAGAGCCATGCTGTACCTCAGTACCCGCACGGAAAGGGCTTCGCAACGGGCGCAGGCAGCCCCCTCAAGAGCTCCATCTCCAAACATGAGACACACATCTCATGAGAATCTCCATCCGTGATGTACCGAGGGCAAGAAAAAACACACCTTCTGTACATCTGGTTGCCGGACATGCTGGTAGACTTCTTCTTCAGGTAAGACATACTGCTTGTAGGACTGGAGCTTTCTTCAAACAACATACAGAGCGCCTGCTGACTAGAAAAAAGCTAATGATGAGTGTGTACAGGTGTGCTTTATACTCCTCCGGTTATTCCGTCACACCTTACCGTTCTAGCAACAAGCCAATAGGATTGGAGTGATTTCATTCACGTTCAGACCCGCTACGCCTAGAGGCGTTCCCATAGTGTCGTAACCGACGCAGTTCGAGTTCCCTCGAAAGGGAGCACTAGCTAACATTGTGCTCTAGAAAACAAGCTTTCAAATGAAATATGATTCAATATGGAGAGTTTTTAAAAGGCCGGTCAAACTTGTACTTGGACAGTGTGAATAAAGCTGAAATTTACAGGATCTGAAGTTGATAAACTTGGTATAATGGTATATATATATATATATATATATATATATATATATATATATATATATATATATATATATATACACGCACACACATATATATAGAGAGAGATTGTTTTGTACATTTTATGAAAGTATGGTAATAAAAAACAGATTAAAGCAAAATCATAATTTTGGACTGTGGTGTCTCACCTTAAGTAATGCAAAAAATAAATAAAATCTTACTTTATTTGAAAGGGTTGTCACTTGGGATACTTCTTGTACTGACTGTTTCAGTTTCACACCATTGGTTGTTATATTGTGGTGCATTGTTGCTCCAGTCAACTACGCCTCTCTCACTTTTGGTATTATAGCCACAGTTGCCGGTGTAACAAAACCAGTTGAGAGAGTTCTGACAGTCATCAAAGGTTGCCCTGTTGCGAAGGTCAACCTGTGGAAAAAGATCAGATTAAGTAACTGTACAGCTAGAGATGGTTCTTCTGAAGCTATAGGACATTTTTGTTAGTATATTTTGTAAACACACAAGTTGATATCGATCTATAATTCTTTCTATAATGTTATAATATATCAATGAAGTCACTCATTGGATCTTGGGATGACTAAGAAAAGAACAATAGAATAAAATCCATAGTAATATTTTGCATGGGGGGCTGTCTAAAATACATTCAAAAGATCATCCAATTTCATAAAGCATTAGCAAGATGTCATCCAGTTCCTTCTACAATGTAAAAGGTAAATTTCTTTTTTCTGTGTCCAGACTATATGTTGTCTTGCAACCATGTACTGATCAAAGAAAGTTACAAGTTTTTACAATCTAATATAATTTAGGGTGTCCTCAAGTTTACTTAATGTAACTATTGAGTCTTGATTCTGAGAAACTATTAAGCTTTCTGGAGTTAAAATGCAAAATTGAGAATAATTTAAACTTTTAGTGAACACCCCGGATGCTGCTGAGAGAATCAGGAGCACCCGTGAAAGCAATCCATATAATTTTACATCCATCCCAAAATCAATTCTTTCTCTCAGAAGTAAAGAAATTTGGATGAACAGTTTCTGTACAAATAACCCCCAAGCAAAATAAAAAATAAAATAACATGATGTATTTTTAGGTTCCTAAGCAGCACGCCAGCATCATCAGGATCAGAGGAAGTTTTACTAGTTCAGAAAGAGAGATAATATATCAATGAAGTCACTCATTGGATCTTGAGATGACAAAAAAAAAACAGAAGGCAAGGCAAGTTTATTTGTATAGCACATTTCAACAACAAGGTAATTCAAAGTACTTTACATAAAACATAAAAGCAACAGGGAAAAGTTCAAAAGCAACAT